ATAAAACTCGATTACAAACACATTAAATTAATTGATTATAATCGATTAGTTTTAATTTACCATATAACTGTATAACCACAAAATAATGCGCAGGGGTGTAATTTCAATGTTTCGGGCCAAAATTCAAAATAATACAGGGGTTATTTCGCGGTTTTACGGCATATAGATTATAAATATAAATCTATGTATCACATTTAATCGAATGCGCGATTATAATCGATTAAATTCATTAAATTTTAAATTTCCTGATGAAAAAAATGGGGATTTTGCATATCATTACGTACGTACGTACGTATATTAATTAATGCATGGTGGCAATTCAGCCAATATATGTGGCAATTCCACCAATCTATGCTACCCCAATTTAGTTATAATTAATGGATTACGATTCTAAAGAAGTTAACAATGCGGTAATGCGGCTTACAACCTTTGCAGAATTCGGATGCTATGAGTACAATGCTGCAATGCAATTTATTGAAGTTAAGTGGTTCCACGAGGACCGGATCCAGGCAGAATTTTTAAGACCATTCAGAACTAGCGTTTTTGACATTATGTTCTCAAACAAGCATTTTTTGAATTCTTTAATGTTCTTAAAAATTTTTTAAAGTTCTCAGTATTAGAACATTAAATTTTTTTTATATTAAAAAAATTTTATTAAATGTTCTCAAATAGAAAACATCTTCCAGTAATTCATGTCCATAAAAATTGTTAAGTGTTCTCTGAGAACACTGAGTTGAACACCACTCAGAACTATTTTGAAACTAGTCCAAATAATTACATGATATTAAATCGAATGTCATTTTTGGCATATCAAATAAATTTAAATAAAATTACGTCATGAACAATACGTTTGGAATTTTCGCCTTGAAATTTGCCACTATAATTAGTAAGAACTTGACCTTTACCAAATAGGGTCTTTGCAGTATATATTATATATAGCATTTAGGCCCAAATAAGTTTTTTTCGAATAATTATATCTTCCATTTGCGATCCGAGATGATGCAAGAAATTGATACGGGCGAGAAAGCTAAAGATTTGCATTATAACAATGCTAATCAAGATTCCATCTATAACGATGCTAATCAAGACTCAATCCATAACGATGCTAATCAAGACTCAATCCATAACGATGCTAATCAAGATTCAATCTATAACGATGCTAATAAAGATTCAATCCATAACGATGCTAATAAAGATTCAATCCATAACGATGCTAATAAAGATTCAATCCATAACGATGCTAATAAAGATTCAATCTATAACGATGCTAATAAAGATTCAATCTATAACGATGCTAATAAAGATTCAATCTATAACGATGCTAATAAAGATTCAATCTATAACGATGCTAATCAAGATTCAATCTATAACGATGCTAATAAAGATTCAATCTATAACGATGCTAATCAGGATTCAATCCATAACGATGCTAATAAAGATTCAATTTACATCGAAGCTAATGGGAAAATTCATGATGAAGAAAAAAATATCGAAAAAAAATTAGTGGATAATGACATAGCTGAAATGATATCAGCTGTAAGTTATCGAACTTTGTTATTTTAATATTTTAATAACTTTAATTGTTATTTTAATATTTTAATATCTTTAATTATTTTAATATTTTAATATCTTTAATTATTTTAATATCTTTTTTGCATTTTAAAATTAACAAAAAAAAACAAAAACGGCAGGCCGTTAGTACAGACGATGATCCAACTTTGCCTTGTTTGACTTTTCGATATTGGGTTTTAAGTACTGTAAGGAAGTTAAATGGTTTCAGATTCTTTATTTTTTTTTTGATCTGCAAATTTCACAAAATGTTTTAAACCACAATAAATAGATATGTTCATAACTAGATTTTACATTAACGCGTTATATAATTTCTTTTTACCTTATGAATTAAATATTGTAGTTCTTTACGGCATTGGGTGCTGCTATATCGGTATTCTACCACTTCCGTGTAAATAACTTGAACTATTCTATATTCTTTGTGATACTCGCATCTTATATTGCCGGTAAATGGTTGGAAAAAATCCTACCGAATAAGTTATTTCGTATTAGAAATTGGGAATTTAATCTAAATCCAGGTTTATCACTTTACAAATATTTGTGTCTGAACCCAAGTATCACATGTAACTGTTGTGCGTAAATTTTTCAGGCCCTTTTAATTATAAAGAACATGTGTGCATAGCCGCCGCTGCTGCTGCGGGTGGTTCTAGCGCGTATGCTGTGGTATAATTCAAATTATTTCTTTTGTCTTTCCTTAAACTGTAGCCACAATTTTTTTTAATGTCTATTTTTTTCATACTTTTAGGATATTCTCTCAATCCAAGATTTATTCTATAATACTCGGGTCAATTTCTTAATAGGTTTCCTGTTACTAATTAGCACACAAATGCTTGGATATGGATTCGTAGGTTTTGTTCGAAAACGTATGTTTGTTTATTTTCTGAAAATAATTATTATTTAAAATATTTAATATTTACTCAAAAAATTACATAAATTTAGAACTGGTTCGTCCTGCTAACATGATATGCCTCAGTCTCTCGTCTATGCTAGCATGTACAACACACTACACGGCAATATTTCGGAAACAAATGATAGAATTCGTTTTTTTTATACCGCATTTTTTGCAATGTTCACTTGGCAATTTGTACCAGGATACATCTTTCCTTGGCTCATTAGTGCTGCTTTGTTATGCCTTATTGTTCCAAATAATAATGTGGCAAGGATATTAGGAAGTTCTCATAGAGGTGCCGGAATACTTGATTTATCCTTTGATTGGAACGCTATTGGTCAAACTTTTCCCCTGTTTACACCATGGTAACATATTCACGTGCTCGTTATTTAATTTTTTATATTTTTATTTACTTATTGCCTTGCAATTTAGGTGGTCTCAAGTAAATCATTTCATTGGTGTTGTTTTAGCAATATGGATTATTGCTCCATTATTGTACTTTAATAATGTCTTGTGAGTAATTATTCAGTTATTTACCTCGTTGATTTATTGCTTATTTCACAACTTAATTAATAAATTAATTTGTAAATTAATTTGTAAATTAATTGGTTGGTTTTATTTAGTGATGCTCAAAAATTTCCCTTTTTATCGTCTCGTTCATTCGATAAAGATGGAAACATGTAAGTATTGTTCTTTTAATTATTTAAATTATATTAAACTTATTAAATTAAATTTATACAACAATAACGATTTTATTTATTTATTTTTCTTTATATAGATATAAGCAAAGAAGTGTCATTGATCGACAAACTGGTGCTCTCAATGTTACTGCATACGAAAATTATAGTCCTGTATATATAACCGCTCAATATGCCGCTTGTTATTGTTGTTATTTCATTCAAATTACCGCGACCCTTTGTCATGTGATACTATTTCATGGAAAGGAAATTTGGAATCGATACAAAAAAACTCGTGAGGAGGAAGAGAAAGGTGACATTCACTGCAAACTGATGAGTGTCTATCCAGGTTTCATTAATATTTTTTTTTTCATTTATGTTTATTTAGAAAAAAGCTTAAAGATATGATTTATATATTGTTTTTTATATGTTCATAACAGAAGTACCAAATTATTGGTACATTGCTATTTTCTTTATCATGTTAACAATTGCAATTATTCTTGGCTATACAACCGAGGCGAATTTACCTTGGTGGGCTTTATTACTGTCCGTTTCTATGGCTATAATCATGTTACTTCCGATAGGTATAATATTAATAATCACTTGTTCAAAATATGGGGGTGAGTCAGTAGAAATGCGCCATATCTTTTTTAATAAATTTCCAAACATAAATAACTTGGCAAAAACTTAACCAAATTTTGTAAAAATTTTTTTAAATAAATTCTACAAGTTTTTAAAATTGTTTTAAAAAAACTTTTTTTATTAAATTTGATAAAGTTATTATTGAGTTATTCTTGTTTAAAGTTTTAAAAAGATTTACTTTGAAAAAATATGGTGCGTTTCTACTGACTCACCCCATATTTTGTTTGAAATTATAATCTCATTATTCTCATTCTACAATAGGAATTATTCAAGCCATCTCAAATTGGCACCTTGGTTTAAATGTTATAACTGAACTAGTATGCGGTTTTATTTTACCCGGCAATCCCATTGGAAATGTATATTTTAAAACTTATGGGCATATATCTTTAACTCAATGTTTGTTATTTATTCAAGATCTAAAATTAGGTTTGTCCCTTTTATAAAAGAAAATTATTATCGTTGAAATTGTCGAGGTTATACAGTTATATGGTAAATTAAAACTAATCGATTATAATCAATTAATTTAATGTGTTTGTAATCGAGTTTTAT